AAAGCTATGGCTTCCCAAATAAGACTTGTGAGGGGCATCTATCTAGCTGCTTAAGGTATTGACCATGAGGGAATAAATGAATAAATAAAAAGAAAATAGGGTACTCTTGATTGTGCCATTGGTACTCTAGCAATGTTACTCCCAGCTTAGTTTTTGTCTCAATTAATCATCTTAAGTTAATCATTACTACTCAGCCATGCAAAAAAAAAGACAGTTTTTTCTCCATTTGTATGAAGAAACAAAGGCAAAAGCCTATATGCTTGATGCCATTTGTGTCACCACCTTCAAAAGATGGAACAATGTATTGAAATGCCAAAGGAATCATCGTCATAGGTTTTCAGTTGCTCTTTCGGATATTGAAACTTGTATATGTGTGTGCATTAGTGGACCCCATCCACTCCTAGGGGTAGAGTCAAAGCCCATGTACATCTCACCCTCTCGATATTCTACCATTGAGTTGGATGTATTAGGCATGTTTTTTTCTTGCGTTTGATGATTTCAGTTGCTCTTGTGGTGGGTTTCTGTGTGTTTGATGGTTATTGTGTTAATGAATCAGATTGTGTGAAATCATTTATGTGGGCGTATATTATGGAGATATATATATATATATATATATATATATATATATATATATATATATATAAAGACGTGGAAATTTTTGAAACAGCAAAGGGAGGGTTATAACAGGCAGCAAATAATGGTGTCCCGCCAGCCAGCAGCGCTGGCGGCTCAACCAAAACCACCAGCCTTTAGTTGCCCGATTTGTATGGGGCAGTTTGTGGAAGAGACGTCGACCAAGTGTGGACACATTTTCTGTAAGAAATGTATCGTCGCCGCAATAGCTGTCCAGGGGAAGTGCCCTACCTGTAGATACCATCCACTCAAAGAAAAAGACACTTTCAGGATTTACCTTCCTACATCATATTAACATCATAAGATTCCAAAGTGTAAGTATTGTTCTTCTATCTTCTCCTCTATAGGCATTATCATCTACAAGTTTAATATGCTCTCTACACTTCTTTGGATGTCAGTGCATATCCGGCAAGATTGCTCCATTTGTCCCGCTATTTTTGTCCATTTTACCCTTTTATCCGTTCTATTATTTTCGTCCCGTACGATATTTAGTCATGTTTGTGTGCTTCACATTCCCTTCTGTTGTTCTCCAGGTTGTTGCAGGGTCTAACTTTTCTAATTTTTTGATGACTTGGGATTCTCTTTGATCTTCATATCCCTCTCTTTGGAGCAAGAAAGACATGGGGGTAGGTTTTTGTTTCTATTGATAAGATGAATAATTATGTTTTTTTATGGGTGACCATTTTTGTCAAACCCAAAGACAAAGTGAAGCAATTTTTTTGTTTTTTTGAGAAGTGAATTTTAGTGTTGTTTTTTGAGTTCCATTGTGTTATTATCTGTCTTTCTTGTATTCATCTACAAGACTACATTTGAAATTTTGCCCAGAGAAAAGTTTAGAGGTTTTTAAATTAGTCTTCCGGCTCTTCCCATACACTATTTACATAGTCAAACTATAATCACTTTTTTTTACCTATTTTCATTAGTTATTTGATAAAATAATATACTTATGTCACTTTTTGTTTTGTAGAACTTTTGATGTAGCATTAAAATATAAATTTTTTATTTTTTAGTTATACATCTATAATTAAATAAATTAATTTGAAAATAATTTTAGGGCCTGTTTGGGAATAGCGTTAGCGATTAGCGTTAGCGTTTTGGATAAAATTTTAACGGTGAAGATTAATTTGAAAACGCTAACGCTAAACGCTGCCCGTAGATAGCCTTTTGAAAACGCTAACGCTAATTTCTAATGATATTCCCAAACAGGCCATTAGTCAACCTCATAAATCGAACTAGAAAATTAGGGGTATTTTTCCCCCTCCATTTTGGCATGGATTATGCTATGTGTACTCCAAAGTTTGTACCCCGCAGTTTTGCACCAACACTTTGTGTTGGTGTAAAACTAATTTTTGTTAAACGCACCAACATTTGTGTCCGTGTGAATATTTATTAACGCAACAACACTTGTGTCGGTGTAAACCATCGAAATGTTTGTGCAAGCCTGTGGTGTACAAATGGGGTATATTTTTTGGTTTAAGTGTAGCATGATCCTTTTGGCATATGAAGAAAGTTGTGGACAGGAAAATAACAAAAAAACCCGGCACGTGTACAATACATTGGTGTGTAAATTAAGCATCGTGCGTGCAACATTTGAAAATGAGTAATTTTCACAGCAAAATGAGCACTCTTTATGGTATTTGTATTTTGTATTTGTAATGTCTCACCATCGATCACTTCAAATTAGCAGTCACTTAGCGTTACATCACCACTAATTGTATTCATCATTTCACTCATTTCACACTTGAAATACTTCACCACTATTGTAATGATTATACTTTTAATTTTTTTAACTAATTACCTTTTTATATTCAAATTAAATATATCATTTATAAAATATGAAAAAAAAATATTTTTAGGTTTATTATATTTTATTTCGTCATTAAATTTTTTCTTGTTTTGGATGAATTGATTTTTTTCGTAATTTTTTTAAGAATTATATAAAAAACATTTAATTTAAAAATTCATGAATTACATGAATTAAAAAAATTACACAAGATAGATAAAAAAACATGAAGTACGAGCTGAGGTTTAGACTGCTTTTCTAAATATTTCGTCATCGCTAGACGAATTGGAAGAAAGAGTGAACAATAGAAGAGGAAAGAGATAAAAATAAGAAGGGAATCTATTTTAAAAAATATAGGGATTTGATGGTTTAAATAGAAGAGAGAGAATAAAATGAAGTCTTCAAACCAATGAATATTAAACAAAGTAATATTGTAATAAGCTTGGCATTAAAAAAAACATATAAATAATAGATGTGCATAAATGATATGCTTAGTCTGTTTAGATATATTTCACTATATTACGTATTAGATAAATAATTGGATATTTTGAAAAAGTATATTTGATAACTACGTGATATCATTAACAAACTTATTTGAAAATATAAATTTATACATTAAAAATGAGTATTAAGAAAAAATTTAAAAATAACCTTATTTTTGTTCCATTATTTTTATATTAAAGTACATGCTTTTGAAAAATTTGTATGCTAGCGGATCGGTCAGATTGAGTTCAGTCTGGTTTGAATTATTTTGAGCAGGTCTTTTTGGGTTCGGTTATTTTGGGATTCAGTCAAAAAAAACCTTTGCTCAAAATTCAATATTTTCGTGTACGGTCTTGGGTAAAAAATATATCGGACCAATCTAAGTGGACTAGATTGGAGAGTAGGATGCTACATTGGTGCTCATGGACATTCTCACACATACTATTACGTGAATAATTATTTTAAAAAAAATGCTTACGTAAATAGTAAGAATTTGCTAACGACTTCTTAACTCCATTATACTGTATCATTAAAATGGTTAATTTTACTAAAAAATTATCGAGCATTTAGTTAAACCTAGCTAAATACATTATTACCTCCGTGCAAATCAAATGTCACTTTTATGCTCTGTTTGTGTTAAAATTTCAAAGTTAGATGCTCGAAAAATTTGAAGAAGTTGAAAAAAGTTGTAATAAGTTAGAAGATGTTGGAAGAATATAAGTGTTAAAAAGTCACTCAAATTTTTTTAGGCGTGTCCAAAAATTGTTTTTTGTTTAAGACTCTTTTTTGTGTAGTTTAATTTTTTCATTTCGTTTTTCCATATTTTAATTTTTTATTCTGGGGTTTTTTAACTTTCCAAAAAATTATTCTCAGTTGAGATAGATGTAATGCATGCTAAGTTTTTTAAAATTTTATTTCAAACACAAAGCACTTTGAAAATTTTAAAACATTATAAAAAATTGAGAAGAAATTTAAAAAAAAAACTAGGAAAAGGTAAAAGAGATAGAAAATATTTAAAAAAAGGAAAAGCACAAATAATAAACAAACAAATAAGAAATGAGGACGAGTGCCCCTCTATGGTTTAGAAATAATGCACCAAACTGCCAATGCCATCTCTTTGCCCGAAAATAACCAGAAAATGATCAGAGGGGGCGTGGGTGCAACATTTTGAAACCACGAGAACTTTAGAAATAAGTTTTGAAAACAAATGAGGTATTGGTGCCAATTTTACAAAACACATAACAGTATAACACCGGAGCTATTTGGCCTTTTTTTCTTTTTACATCCATTCATCACCATTATAAATAGGGGTGTGTTGCTTAGTTTTCAGAGTCAAAACAAGAAGAGGAGGGGACACAAATCCAATAATGCCCCACCACCACCACCACCACATCCCTAGGGGAGGGGGTTGCAATAATGCCCCACCACCACCACAAATCCAATAGTTCCCCATGGAATGATGATTAATGTGTTGTTAATGAATCATTAAAACAATGAAAACAATCACTCAAATCTTCTTTCAGACCTCCTCCTCAGCTCCTTCACTTCTCCTCCTCACATTGAGGTTCTGAGCTGCACTGGCGGCGACTGCAGGGGCGGTGATGGCCGCCATTGGACTTTCCGTTACGGGACTGTGGGCCCCGCCCCTTGCGCCGCCCATGTCTTTGGTCTTGTGCAAGAGAAAAGTGCCACAGAGGATGGTCATGAACCCACACAGCTCTGTGACTATCTGTGTTGCATCATTGTGATCCCACTCCTGCAGCAGAAAATCCAACCAAGACAAAAAAAAAAGTCAGTGGGAAGAAAACCCATGTTTTAAAGAACAAAAACAAGTTGAATAATTGTTGTGGGATCATCATCATCACCTTGAACATGATGACACTAGCAAGAATGGTGAGGGTTGTGAACATCACGTAATACACCGGTGACACCACTGCAGTATTGAATGTGTCCAGCGCCTACACATACACCAAGCAAGGCAAGGGCCAGAGTCATAATATAACACCAGTTCATCTGAGAGCCCTACCCAAAACATGACAAAAGAGTACCTACCTTGTTCAGATAGTTGAGCTGAAGAAGGCAACACATTATGACACAAACAATGAAGAACCATGTCTGGAAGTATTTGAACTGATTCATTCCTTCAAATGTTAGCTTTAGAGCTGTTCCTACCGCTTTCACCCCCATAACCTGTAACACCACCAAAATGGTGCAAAAAAAAAGAAGAAATATAAGGCATATTAAGGCCACTTAGGCGGAGATTAGACGAATAATCATTTTTTTTTATTTTGTTAGAATTTGGGAGGGGAGAAAATGGAACCGTGAGGGAGCCGGTGAGAGAGCAGATGCCAATGTAGACAACCATGTGCGACTGTCCATAGAGTGGGACAAAGCGGACGACAAGTAATACAACCACGATTATAACTATGCCAGTGTAGATGATGAATCCTGCACATTGTCAAAAAAGAACATGGAGGATCACAGAGATGAATAAAACCATCTGCTGCTGCAGAATGGTTGCCATAGAACATCTCCATATTTCCCTTATCCTCTACTAAGGGCTATGGCTTATTTGAGTTTCCATTCAACTATTACAGATATGGGAGGATGTACTTTTTTATTGTCCTTTCCATTGAGGAATACATTAATAGATACAACAACAATATAAACAAACAAACCCAGTAGAATCTCACAAAAGTGGGGCCTAAGGAGGGCGCGTGTATGCAGATTTTACCCTTACTATGAAGTAGAGAGGCTATTTTCAAGAGATCCCCGACTCAAAAAAAGTACATAGGTAGAGTATTGATGAGGTTAAAGAAACACACTATTTCACATTGAGCCGACAAATTCAATAACAAAGAGGCAAGTAGTGTGATTACTGCCTACCTGGTTCAGTTGCTTGGTGCCACACCTCCTTGACAGATTCAATTTTCTTCTCTATAGGAGCATGCAACACGATGCTGATCGACCCCACCAAGCAGAGGATACACCCAACCACTCCAAACATATGCAACCTTTCGCCCAGTATGAAATGTGCCAGCACTGCACTGCATTCATGCCAAAATTTCTAGCATTATGACCTGAAGATAGCTAAAAGCAGCTTTTATCATAGTTAAAATTTGACAGATTATAATCTGATTGACCTGAAGATGATGCTTAAAGCCCCCAATGGAGTCACAAGGATGGCTGGGGCATATGCATAAGCAGCAAAATTCGCCGCCTCACCAATTATCACTGCACACAAACAAAAAAAAGGACATTTTTTTCTCCTGTGAATTGAAACCAAAAATTGAACCATACTTTGTAAGAAAATGACCTTACTAGTAATCATCCCAACCCACCACCATGGCTCAAGCAAATACGAATGGCCTCCGGAACCTGAACAAGACTAAAGAAATCAACTAACTGACCAATCCACAGAAGCAGTGTTTATTAACACAGAAGAAATTTTGAAACCCAGTGACTAATGAAGGACCATAATCTGTTCGATGAAATGCAAATTGAGGAAAGAGATGAAGAG